TCACAGGAGATGATCCCTGACCCTGTTTCAGAAAGAATGAAATTGGGGCTCAGAGAGGGAAAGCGTTGTGTGCAAGGTGGCACCGCTAGTAAGGGACATCACCAGGACTCAAATGAGTCCTCTGAACCCTCCCACCACCACTCAAACAGGGGACAGGAAAAGAGGGTCCCTCCCACAGACCCCAGATTCCTGCATCTGAGCTGGAGTGGTGGGAGGGAGAGCGCAGGCCTGAGTGGGTGGGCGTGGGCTCCCACTCAGCGTCACAGTGAGCTGGGCTTCCAAATGCTGGTCCCAGACAGTGCGGTATTGTCTCATGGGTGGGAGGATATTGTCTTCCTCCAAAAGAAAAATAATCAAAGTCAGATCAGCCATAGCTCATTAAAGCCTCTGCAGACATTACGGCCCCAGCAATTAACAGGGGGAAAATTACGCACCATCACCCCGGGGCGAGGGAGGGCTGGACCCGAGCCAGCCCCTCTTCTGCACCCTGACTCCCCTCCAGCAGCCCCTCAGGGTGGCTTTCCCTCCATTTCCAGGCCCAAGAGGGGCGGCAGCTGCCCCAGTTGCAAATACCTGGTTCAGCCCCAACAGCTCCTGTGAGCTCAAGGTCCAGGTGGGGCTCTGGGGCCTGCACATTAGCACCAGGTGGGGATGGCCGGCCAGGGCTGAGATCATCCTCTCTTTGGCTCCGGCCCAGCTGCATCCCTGGGCCCTGCCCCAAGCAGCCCGCCCAGGGTACTGTGCCGGTTTCAGAATTTTGTCCACTGCAGACAGACAGGCTGTCCCTAGGGCCAGCCTTTCCTCCTTGGGACCCGGCAGTGCAACCCAGTGGAAAGAGCTTGGGCTGGACTCCACCTCTGGGTGTGCCTCCGCTTCTCGGAGCCAGGTTCCTGACCTAAATTTGGGCCATTTTTCCACTTAGGTGAGGTCCTCAGAGAAGTCAAAATCATGAAAACAGAAAGTGTAACAGTGGTTGCCAGGGGCTGGGGTGGGAGGTGGAGGAGGGGGAATGGGAAGTTGTTGTTTAACAGGTATAGAGTTTCAGGTTTACAGGATTTACGAGAAAAGAGTTATGAGGATGGATGGTGGTGATGGTTGCACAATGTATTTAACACCACTGACCTGTACACTTAGAAATGGTTAAGATGGTAAAATGTATGTTATGTGTATTTTACCACAATAAAAAAAAAAAAAAGAAAGAGTTGGGCTTTAACACTTTCCCCAGCTACAGGGCCACAGTGAGCATTTGATGGTACATGGGAGAGGGGTCTCCATAAACATTCACCACCACCACCCCAGGGAGCCGCTAGAGTCAGAACGCATGACCTGGGGCCTAGAGATTTACCTTCGGTTTCCTCCTTTCTCATGTATTAGGTATGTGGCTTTGGGTAATTACTCCCTCTGAGCCTCAGTCTACCAATCCAGAAAATGGAAACAATTTCTGCCCAGGCTTACTCGGGGATGGAGGAATACGGCCAACAGGAAATGCTTTCTGCGAACTTAAGTGGTCATGTGACCGGCAGGGCTGGAAAGACCTCGCCCCTCCCAAATCCCCGCCCCCTCTCTCTCCCTCTCCCTTTCCTCTATCCCACTTGCTTCTATTAATAGAGTACCCCTAG